GGGTCTCAGATGGACCAGGCCTCCGTTTCTTCACCATGTTTTCTGTGAACGTTTCTGCAGAACCGCGTGTTTCAGGCTTTAAATGTCCTGTTCTAACATCATTCAACACTTTAAAGCCTCTCTGGTGTTTCCTTGATGCAGATTAAACCTGAAAGTTCTTCAGTCTGGGTCCGGGTCTGGTTCTGGGTCTGGTTCTGGGTCTGTGCGTCCTCCAGCTTTACGCGTTTCCTCCAAGTTCTCAGATGTCAGACCTCCTCCTCTTCCTCCTCCTCTTCCTCCTCCTCCTCCTGCTCTTCGGAAACGGGATGTGATGTAAACACACAGAACTTTTTCCTTTTTTTTTTCTCGTCCTTGTGTCTCTGGAGTTTGCAGAACTTCTTCCATCGCTGTCGGAGAACCAGAACCCGAACCAGAGCAGGAGATAAAAACATCTGGGAGATAAACGTCTCGCTTTTTCCTCCGCCATGATCCTCTGAAGGGGCCTGCGGAGCTTCTCAGCCGGACTGGACGCGCCGAGCCTCGGATCGGACCGGAGCGGACAGGTACGGGGCGCGCGGCCGAGGGAGGGCGCGGGCGGAGCGGGCAGAGCGGCGCGCAGGAGCCGCCGGAGGCTCCGGAGGCTCCGCAGAGGCCTGCTGGAGCTCCGAGGTCCGGAAACCAGACCGAGTGTCCCGGACTGGAGCCTCAGAGCCACGGAAGCGTGTTTAGGGTCATAGAGGAGGTTTTATTGGAGGAAATAATCAGTAAAATGATTAAAACAGACTGAAGGAGACAAAACAGCCTGTTTGGTGGTTCAGTCTGTTTGTGGCTCGTTTTCATCTCTGCGTCCAAATAATGTGCAAAACAATGAAAAAGTGAAACAGAATGAACTAAATAGATGTTAAATAACCAGCCAGAGGTTCAAAGTGGGTCAGAGAGGCACCAAATGAAGATAAATGGAGTCAGAACAGCAGCAAAGACCTGAAACAACCAGAACAGAGATGAAAACTACCAGAGACAGATCCAGCATCATGCAAACACAAGCAGAGACTCACAGAACAGCCTCCATCACACAAAAAACAACCAGAAACAGTTGGAAACATGTGAAAAAGTGACACAAAATCAACTAAAATGGACATAAAGCAGCTGCAAAAACCCACAAAACAACCATCAAGAGGTTAAAACTGAGTCAGAGAGGCACCAAATGAAGATAAATGGAGTCAAAACAACAACAAAGACACTAAAACAACCAGAAAAGAGACGAAAACGAACACAAAAATCAATGCAAACAACAGCAGAGACGCAGAAAACACAAAGAACAAGTGAAAACCAGTAAAAAAGTGACACAAAATGAACTGAAATAGACATAAAACTGCTGCAAAAACACACAAAACAACCAACAAAACATTAAAACAGACTCAAAGACACACTAAGGATCTGTTGAGGCCTTTTTGTTTGTCGTTTGTTGTTGTTTTTTGGTCGTTTTGTATCGTCTGTGTNAAGGTGAATAGATGATGGATGGACTGTGAGGCTCTGCTGCCACCTGCTGGATGAAACATGCAAACACATTGTTTAAGTAGATCTACTCGAGTACTCGAGTACTGTGGCAGGATTACCAGTATTTCACTCTGACCCTCCCTCCTGTTTGGTTCTTTTGGTTCTTGTTGTGCCAGTTTGGGTGAAACTAGTTTTATCGTTTTGTCTCTTCAGGATTCTGGTTTATAAACACAGCAGCTGTACAGACTCACACAGAGACCAGAGCTGATCAAACTGGTGGAGTTTACACTGATTTACAGGTTTTAAACCAGTTTGACACTTTTTCTGGTTGTTTTTGTTTTTGTGTTTTAAGTCTTTGTGTCTGTTTTCATCAGGTTGCGTCTCTCTGGTTTTCTTTGTGAGTCTTTGCATTCATCTTGTATTAATTTGTGTCATTTTGCATCATTTTTATTCCTTTTTAATCAGTTTGTTGTGTCTTTGCAGCCACTTTGTATCTAGTTTTGGTCTTTTTCTGTGTCTTTTATCTGTTT